GGATAAATTGATGCAAGACATATATATATATATATATATATATATATATATATATATATATATATATATATATATATATATGAAAAAAATTATGTTTGTGTGTGTTTGTGTGTGTATGACAGTGTATGGCAGTGTTTGTGATGTTTATTATTATTCTATTTATTCAATAATATGGACTAGGTTATAAATTATAATTTTTGTTAGCAAATATAATAACAAGTGATAAACATAAGTGCCAGCTGTATCGAATATTACTTGATTTAATAGGTTAGTGTACATGCATGCATGTGCTGTAAATGATATGTTTATCCATATAACGTTAAATAAACGTTGTACAAAATATAAAAAAAAACATATAATATTATTCCTGTTTATAAATTTCCAACCAAAATTTACCAAGTGGCATAATGCGACACATCAGATTAAACAAGCGCTCATTCAGTTTGTTAAAAACTTCACAATGTGTTTGTGACAGTTTGTGTATTACGCATCCGACTTCACTTGATGTGACTAGGCGATTAGTCTCAACTCTCAACTCCTTGACTGAACAAGCTAAATATAACACACGCCCTACTAGTGTAGTTTTTTGCAAACCAACCTAAGTTGCAGCAAGTTTCATCTTACAAAAGTCTTATACAATTTTATTTAAACGACGAACTTGACAAATGCTGTCACGCAGACCTTAAAAAATATAGCTAAATAAACTACGCTTTGATTTAATCTCAATGGACTTCTACGAAACATATGACTCACTACAGATTGTTGACGAAAAGCTGAGTTCGTACAATGCCAGAAACATATGTCACACCATGTCTTATCTACTTTCTACACAACACGCCCACACTTCAATCCCATGTACAGAGACACTTTAAGCCTATGTGCAGAGAATAGATGATCGGAAAACGATTTCCTAAGATAAGCGCAATCATAAAATGTTGTTACATTGTACGTGAATTTGGCGTTAAAATTGTATCAGTCTTGTGTCTTGAACTTTAATATAATTCGTCGTGGCCCAAGTTTACTGCACTCACAGTTTAAAAAAGATGAACAAAAAATGTCGCAGAGACGCAAACTGTTACAAAACATTTTTAAGTTCCCCCTCCCCCTCTCACTCGGGCGTTTTAATTAAAATAAAAGAAATAGCCGTATCTTTGTAACATTAAACAGAAATAAACGTACATTGATATGCATGCAAGTAAACTTTGGTTGTAGTTAGGGTGGGCAATGCCGGATGCTGATTACTAAACACAGAAGTCATGTTCTTTACAGATAAATTATTCAGAGAGGCCAGCCAGTGCACTGCCAGCCGGGAAGGCTAGTATATATATATATATATATATATATATATATATATATATATATATATATATATATATATATATATATATATATATTTATATATATATATATATATATATATATATATATATATATATATATAAATCTATCCGTTGTAAACATTCTCTGTCTCTGGCTTGATCTTTTGAAAGTGGGACAAGTGTGAGTACACGTCATTTGATTCAGGAGCCGGGCCATGACCAAGAACCGGAGTTGCATCGGAAGCTGTAAGGGATTTCTTTTTGAGTTTATTGAAATATCAGAAAATAAGTCAAGACAACCATTCTCTGAATACATGTAACACATATTTAGTTGCAAATCAAAATAGTATTAATTTTAATTATAGTTTGTTTTATAGACAATCGTATTTATTAGGGTGTTGATTTTGATCAGAGAAAAGTATTAGTTAAACATAACTTGTGATGATGAACAGAGTTGTAAAGTAGATATGTGAATGCTCATTTACGCCAATACAATTAACTATGCTATGGTGTTATAAGACTAACAACCACGAAGAACAATATTGAGAGAGTGTACAGACCCCCCCTCTCCGTTTTTTCTAATGAAAGTTCGTTTTTGGTTGCAATAGTAACCTCTAACAAGGAAGAGGCGAAAACAGCTGGGGAGCAGATTAAGGGAGCAGCCCAAAACAGAGTCCGCTGGAAATGTGTAGTTGCAGCCCTTTGGTCCACAGGGCCACAAAGGAATGATGATAATGAGAATGATGAACAAGGAACTCTAAGCAAATTTGTTTAACTATAGCTACTCACAGTCTGAAGTGCAGGAAACAGATGATTTTTATCGTGTGCTGGGCCTACGTGTTTTTTTTTGTCTATACATCAGTCATGAGCTGATTAAATATGTAATGTTTTTGTCTATACAACGGTCGTAGTAAAAACAATTCTAAATAACCCCATTTTATTCAATGATAATTCCCTTTTCTTTTTTATTGTAAAACTTCTGCGTTAAAACGTGACTTTGTATCGTAATGAAGCTACATCTAATAATATTGGCAGTTAAGAAGTTACATAAATCAATTGTACAGTGATTAAATAATCTTCATCTCGCATTTTCGCTTATTAACTAACTTTTTGTTTGATTAAATTAAAAATATTTAGAAATAGGTCAAAAAAATATTTTTTAATCAAAATTTTAATGCTAAATAATAAACTTAAATATATAGATTTAAAAAAAAAATGTTTCATAGAAACCGTTTGAGTTTATCGACAAAGACCGTTTGTCAACTTTTTTTTTTGTACATTCAGCAGAACATTTTAAAATGTACAGTCAAGTGGGAGATCGTAATTCTCTTTAGATCCGATAGGAAATCTCTGAGTATATTAACTGTACAGTACGTGACGACAGTGGGTCAAATAAAGGTTTCTTGACACGGTGTTGCATACACGAAAACAAATAAACAGACAAAAATGTAAGCGTAGTTTACTTTAGCTTGGCAACTAGGATCCACACATTTTTACTTTCTCGTATACAGAGTATAGAGAAAGTATTGTAAACGTGCAAAAAAAAAAATCATTTTTTTTTTTGCAAATCTCGACGTTTTACACCTTCTTGGGTCGGAAAAACATAGTTTTGCAATCTTGTCCTTATGTCTCTCTCTGTGTATATGTGTGTATGTGTGTCGGTGAACATGATAACTTGAGTACCGTTAAAGCTAGTTTGATGAAATTTCATATACAAGTATTATATCAAATTTGTAGTTCTGAATCAACTTTTCAGCGATTTATGATAGACGGAAGTCGAACTTCTTCTGCTTTAAATTTTTCATAAACATAGCTTGAGTACTGTTTCAGATAGATAAATGGAATTTCACAGGTAAATAAAAGATCTAATTGTCTGCATTCTGTCAAATTTTGAGTAATTTCCGTTTACCGGAAAAAGTAATTTACGCTATTTCCGATTTCTCAAAAAAACGAATGTGAATTTATAAAGTACTAATAATATTCCGCACTATTATACACATTTTGTTTAACGTTCACTGGATGAGTAATTGTTTTTTCGACGATATTCTATCCTATTTTAAAAAGTTTAATTAATTTAAAATTGATTAAAATTTTTGTCTATATTCCGACTTGCCATACCACGTATTGTTATATAAAAATGTTCAAAAACGTTTAGGGGAGATCACTCCCGGTTTATCTGTTTGCATCACGCACAAATTGAACTAGTTGTGTCTAATTACGGACATAACTTAAATCTACAGGACAATATCCCTAAACACTTCTTGATTTGACGAAAAACTGTGTTTTACGTGCATTTATTTTAATATTATTATGTGACTGAAGTAAGTAGTCTCTGTCGAAACCATTACTGTTGACATCCGTTCTAGTATTTTTATTTTTTAACTATCAGTTATTGTGATCGATGTATGTTAACGTACTATCCTATAGTATATTTTATAACACGATCTTTTAATGGGTATTTTTTGTGTAGATTTTTTTCACACATTTTAATAAAACTTAGTGTAAACTCTTGAACAAATTAGATTTAGGTAGCTTTCGTCATATTTATAGAACTATAACTTTTACACAAAATATAAATTTATATATACATACACCACATATACAGTCACAAACACACTATCACACACAGAGTTAAATTTATTCAGGTGCATGTTATGTAGAAATTGTTTAAAAAATAAAATATTATACAAGAGTTTCTTTTATCTATGCTGAAGTTGAAGTTTATTTTATAACTCTTTTATAATACCCTTACACTTAATGCATTATTTAGCTGGGATTTGGGCACATGGCACTTATGAAGTTAATCACGGTCAAAAGATGTGTTATAAGAATTTTACAATTTTAGCTTTAACAACGACTAAACTAGGCCAGTATAGACTTTTAAGGGAAATTATGATACTAATGATATTTAAATTGCTTACTTGATTATTTTGTATCAACTCTTCTTTATTAATACAGTCCAAAATTCAAGATTTGTAGTGTTTAATTATCCGATTTTAAAAAAAGCAAAATAAAAAGTATAAAATATATGCAGCATACAACAATACCATAACATTAAAACATATTATAAAATGTATCCACACAATATATACGCTGCTTAAGCATGAAATATTTTGACATTATTTAAATTCATACCAGCTGTTTCGGCCAGGCCCTAGCCTAGCCTGTCTATAAATTCCATTCTTTTGTGTTTAGTAAGCAGCAAAAACCGGCATTGCCCGGGTTTTAGAAATATAACACTTTTAGAATTGTGTTTCAAACACAAACGCAAACGCAAAGCAAAGATAAACGCAAACACAAACACAATCAAAAACGCACAAATAAACACAAAAGTGAACATATATCCTAACCCTCACCACAACTTCATCCACTGTAAAATTTAAAAATCAGGTCTTAAGTAATGATAAGATAAATAATAATACAGAGCCGTGCCGAGGGTCTTTAAAAAATAAACCTAATTACAATAATAGCAGCATTTTAAATTATGAAAATATCTAATTTTATTATATCCTCATACCTGATTTTATTTTAGAATGTTGAATCTAATATATAAAGTTCAATTCTATATGTTTGTTTGTAATATGTTTGTTTGTAAAATGTGTGTCGTGGATTACTAAGGAATATAACAAAAAAAACAAACAAAAAATCAAAACTTTGATGGATTAAAGTGTTAGATTATTAAAGTGCTTATGGTCTAAATATATGAGTTAAAAATTTAATACTAAAAGTGTTGGGAAATAATTTTCATTTTTCAAACTGATAGTAATAATTCTCGGCATGTTTATTAAATACAATTTAAAAAAATATCATCTTTTACGGAAATTCTAATTATGTTTGAAAATTATTTATATTTAGTCCTTAGTACTTACTTCCATTTGATAAATTAGGAAAACACAATTACTTCCCTTTATAAAACATTGCATTAGTGGAAAAGAATTTACTTTTTATTACTTTGTTTTGGTGTTGGGAAAAAAATAATTACATAATTAGCGGGGATTGATCAAGTGCAAATGTTGTAGGTATTTTTAATACTGCCTTTTATTTATTCTATACACTGAACTTACTGTTTACTAATTATTTTTTTCAAAATCAATAACAGTTACTAAGCCAGGTCCTACATGTTCTATATGTTTATTTCTTTCCGTTTACGGATAAGCTTGGAGTATTATAATTGTCCTCTGGCGCACAGACAGGGTGCTACTTGGCGACCCGGGCCTCACGTGTTCGGTTTGGCGCCTACGTTCGTTTAAATGAGTGCAAAAGACTATGAATAAGTTGTGGTATTATAGTCGTTTATTAAGCTGAAACAGGCGATTCCGCCGGCGCCCCATCATGGTGCGATTTGGCGCCCCGGGCTAGACTGTGAGAAATGTGCGATTATGTTCGCGTTTGTATTTTCTTTGTGTTTAGGTTGGGTTTGCGTTTTGATTTTGTTCGTTTTCGTTCTTTCTTTTTTGTTTTCGTTTGTGTTTTTTTTCTTTGGGTTTGTGTTTGTATTTGTGTTTGTGGTTGGTTTTGTGTTTGTGGTTGGGTTTGGGTTTGTGTTATCGTTTGCATTAGTGTTTGCGTTTATGTAATGTTTCCTTTCTTTAGTTGTGTTTTGGTTTTGGTTTTGGTTGGTTGTAGTTAGGGTGGGCAATGCCGGGTATATGCTGATTACTAAACACACATGTCAAGTTTCTTTACAGATAGGTTTCAGAAAGCTCTTTTATAGACACCTGCACCAAACTACAAGAAGATATACAATTTTATATGATACTAGCCGTCCCGATTTGTGTTGTGTTTTGTTTGTGTTGTGTTGTGTTTTGTTTGTGTTGTGATTTGTTTGTGTTGTGATTGTGTTGTGATTATGTTTGTGTTGGTGTTGTGTTGGTTTGTGTTATGTTCGCGGTTCTTTTTTTGGTGTTTTGGTTTTGGTTGGTTGTGGTTAAGGTGGGCAATGCCGGATATATGTTGATTACAAAACACACATGTCATGGTCCTTTACAGATAGGTTTTTCACAGAGGCCAGAGCAGGGCCTGGCCGGGACGGCTAGTAAATACTAAATATTAAAATACAGAAGTCAATAAATATGAAACTAAATTGCACCGTTGTTGAACGCAGTGAAAAATATTTAAATTACTTATGCAAGTAGAATTTTGCAAAGCGTCTTTACGTCACTTTATGGATAATTGGTGAAACGCCGTGAATTCTCGAAGGTTCTGTTAAAAAAAGAGTACACAAAGAAAATAATTTGCTTTTAATATATATTTATTAAATCTATAAGCATAATATATAATACCGACTAGTAAGCAGTGATTAAACCAAAAATGGTAAAGTATAATATTATCGTTCTCACTTTTCTATTATATAATTAGATCTATATCGTATCATGCATAGTTTTGTTTACCATTTGTCACTTGTTGATATGGGTGTTCTTCAAATTGAGCACCTTCTGTCCCCATGGTTGGCTTTGTGTAACACACATCATAAGTATTGTGGTCAACACCACTACACTTTCTCTTCCAGATCCTGGTAGTAATTGGTCAAACAATATAATTATAATTGTTTGGTGTGTATTTAATTTAAATTGTATGCTATGTTAGTAATTGTAAGTAATTTTCACACAAAGTTCTAAAATTACATAATATCTAAGTACCCATTTGATAATATTGATAATTTTAGTTCTTCATATAAACTAATACTAATAGTTTCGCTATCTGTCTATGTATCTGTCTATCTATCTATGTATCTGACAAGAACGCTCTAGAGAAAACACAAGCAAATTAAAAACATGCATAGTAAAACGGAAGCGAAACATGACGTCACATTGACAATACAGTAGAAAATAGTATCAAGCCGGAGAGTGCACACAATAATATGACGTCCTTGATTCTCGAGTAAACATTGAATTAAAAAGCCAATATTGTCTTATCTTAGGAGTGGTTTGCGTGAAGAGTTTCTTTCATACAATTCTTCGGGTAGGGGCGAAGCCCATCCCCCGCGTAAAAACGTCTAGGCCGACCACCCCCCCCCCCAACTAATACTCTATAATAAAATTACAGCCTAATTCATGTGTCTAATCTAAAAAGTGGTTTGCGTGCAGAGTTTCTTTCATGGAATTCTTCGGGTAGTGGCTAAGCGCGACACCAGTGTTTCTTTCAGACTTTTTCCTCCCCGGAGGGAGGAACTTTTTATAATCTAAAAAGTGTTTAGCCCCGCCCAGGTTCTTCCTTTAGTTTGTATGATCTACAAATGCGACCAGTGTTTCTTTCAGAAACGGCCTTCGGGCGAGTGTCCATTCGGGCATTTGCCCCTTCGGGCAAGTGTCCATTCGGGCGTTTGTCGCATTCGGGCAAGTGTCCATTCGGGCGTTTTTTGCATTCGGGCAAGTGTCCATTCGGGCATTTGTCGCATTCGGGCAAGTGTCCATTCGGGAAATCGGCCCTCGGGCAAACGGCATTCGGGCAAGTGTCTTTCGGGAATTTGTCGTAGACCCGGTAAAACTATTGGTTAGCCTCTACGCGCTCATCGAGGGCTAAAACCTGACCGCAAGTGAAATGCTCCTTACAACTATATCAACAAAAGCAAAGTGGAGGTTGTTTGATTGTTACTCGCACCTATTAGAACTGGTACTTGCAGGTAAGATTGTTCTTGACTGAGTGAAAGGTCCGCTCTAATCAGAGGCGTAGCGAGGGCGGGTCGGGTGGGGCGGACCGCACCGGGTGACACAATTTAGGGAGTGACACCATGGCGAAAAATTGCAAAATGTACAGAAGAAAAATGCTTTTTTTGCCAATTAGATTGCTGATTACTTAAAGTTTAATAATCTTTTAAGTACAAACCAACAAGAGGTAAGGGGGTGACACCATGAAGTGCCGCACCTGGTGACACAATTACCATATACACTTATAATATCTGTGAAGTATTTGCTTTGTTTTCATCAGCAATTAATTAATTATGCGTTATTATTAATTAATTTTCACAGCTATTTGAAAACAATTCACTATAAATATTGAAGGAATTTTATTTTATCTAATCATTAGAGCCGTGTGAGGGGTTAACCTCGAGCTACACTGTGTCTCTGTAAGGGTTCCACTACCAGAATCAGTCATTCCAATTCACAACGTGACAAACGATAAGGACTTGACAAAATGTCTATTATTTCACCTTTCTGGTTTCATTCAGCTACTAGGTTAAAAAATTCTTCATACAATTAGAATTATTTTTGACATTGCGCGGAGTACCAATCACATCCACTTTCTAGCCCGATTGCACACCGATACATTATCTGTTGTCAATTACTCCACCTCCCATCCATGATCACAGTGGCGTAGCGAGGTCGGGTGTCACCCGGCGCGGCACTTAATGGTGTCACCACCCAGAGGCGTAGCGACACTTCCCGTGGACAAACTTTCAAATTTTCGATTTGCACCCCCCCCCCCTTCAAATTTTTGATTTGCACCCCCCCTCTCAAGTTTTTCTCTATACATTTTGCTATTTTTTGCCTTGGTGTCACCCCCCCCCCCCTAAATGGTGTCACCCGGTGCGGTCCGCCCCCCAGCCCCCCCCCCCTCGCTACGCCTCTGCATGATCATACCTTAACAAAATCTGCAGCAGGATGTTACCTACCTCCTGAAATTCCCCATCGGTTAGCGCAACGTTAACCCATCGATAACTGTAACGGTAGCGGTAAAGATAACGGTAACGGTTAAAATAATTAATTATTTTAATTTTCAGATTGAATATAAATTAGAGTGAGACGTTTGTATTATGTATGGATGAACAGTTTTTAATGCATTTAAGTATGTGTCAGAAAAAGAAGCCTATTACATTAATATTTTAAATCTGTATCTATCCTCACAAGCCGATGATAGAAACTGTTATTCTAAAGCGAACAAGAAGGCAATGCAAACTGATGATGTAAATAACATGTCTGATGCATTTTAGGGCAAAAAAATACTATAAGAAATTCAACTAAAATGTCCATGCTTAATCATAAGTGCAACGACTCAGCAGGCAACATAAAAATTTCTTTCAACATTCTTTGGAAGTATTCCTGAATTTATTTAATTAATAGGTTTATTAAATCTATTAGATGAGATGCATAAATAAACGGTCTACAAAGTATAGTTAATATGTTTCTTTAACCTCGGCATATGGTATTACAGTGTGGTGGTCTCAAGGCCGTCCAAGAGAGTTGGATTTATAATCTGAACCAGAGGTTTTAGGGATAGCAAACGTGTTCTTTAGACTACAACATCCTACCGACATTTATCAAGCGAGATAAGTGAAAAAGAAGGAAAACTATTGAGTTTTAATGATTATAAACTAATGCTACGTTTAAAATGTTGGTGTTATATCGGCTAAGTTCAGTATTGGTTAGAATTATTATAGGCTTATGTAAAGAGTAAAATCATAGCAATTTTTTTTTTCAAAAACCTAAGCAAAGCTGGGCAGTATGTCTAGTGTTTTATAAAATACAATTTTCCCCTGATACTCACGGACAGCAAACATAGTTGACACACATGATGAGAACAATCGCTGCTAATACAACAGCGGCACATGCGACACAGATCAAAATGGTCTTCAATTGCTCGAATCCTAGTGGTGGGTGAGCTGTTACAAGATTGAATATATATATATATATATATATATATATATATATATATATATATATATATATATATATATATATATATATATATATATATATGGGAGAGTTGTGTTTTTAGTAGATGGACAAAGGAGAAAAGCAACAGCGCATCATTTCGGAAATTTCTTTGCCAAAATTTCAATGTTCCCACAGAAATCATCAAGTGAAACTATATCAATAACTTACTTCTTGCACCAGCAGTAGAGAGAAGAGCCTAAAACATTTTAAAAATATATTTTCAATAATTTGAACAGTGTTAACTTTTTTTTGATCCAAACTATCATATTGTTAGAGTAAGTGCTTGAATCGTTTTATGATGTGGTTAATAATTGATATATCTGTGTATGTTTAGTACAAATTACAACTCAGATTAAAAAAAAAACATAATGCCACAAACAAGCTTTGTTGAGAAGTGTGATAATATGTCCCACTTCTCACCATGGGCGTTCAGTATCTCACATTAAATTTTCGTTTTAATGGAATAGTTGTATATGTGCAGTCAGTATTTATCCTACACTCTATCTACGTAAAACATCTATACGTTTATTGTTTTTACTAAATTACACGACTGTCCCACTTCTCACAAGTTTTACCACTGTCCCAAATCCGAGTAACATGATGATTATTTAATTTTGTTTCTTATAAGTCTACATTTTCTTTCCAGAGTTTTAATAACTGTTAAACCTTGAACAATTGCATATTTAAGCGACTTAATTCTGGGATCAATCTAGACATATGAAAGAGACATATTGTTGTTGTTGAGAGGTTAAATCGTTGTCCCACTTGTTACCACTCTCCTCTCTCTAAATGTATAAATATGTAAAGAAAAGATAGATAGATAGATAGAGAGAAAGAGAGATAGATAGAGAGACTACATATATGGTTATATATATAAGTATATTTTACATTTTGAAAGGGAATATACTTTTACTTTTTAAAAAAAATTTAAGAGGTGATTTTATGTTGATAAAATTCTATAAAATACTCTAATGTTAAGCTTTTAGCTCTGACTGTGTTAAATTTGTTTTTGTGATGTTGTTTCCAGTTTATTTTTATTAAGATGTCCTCATTACACACTTGTTAAATTAAAGTGAGTAGAATAATAATAAAATTTTGTCATTTTACGCCCCTCCCCTAGGATAAACATGGCACACCTAGTTAAAACAATGATTTAATGGCCACCTGTTTTAATTATTAAAACACATACACACATACATACACACACAGACATAAGGACAAGATTGCAAAATTATGTTTTTCCGACTCAGGGAGGTGTAAAACGTCGAGATTTGAAAAAAAATTCGATTTTTTTTTTGCACGATTACAAGACTTTCTCTATACTTCTTATATACGAGAAAGTAAAAATGACAGAATATGTGCACATTGCAAAAATGTTTAAAGTCAAAATTTAAGAATATCACTATCCAAATTGCAATTTTGGTCTAATAAATACCATTTAATCCTTTTTAGATTTTTTTTAATGGCATATACTTGTCTTTATCTTTTGCATATTTTACTTTTATCTTTGAATTGTTTCTTTTTCTGTAGTTGACATTATTCATCTTCTTCACTGCACATATTTAGCTACCATCACCACTTCATGGCTTAACACAAAAAATCTAACTGTTAAGTGCACACAGGCCCACAAATTAGTCAACGTATTTGTTTAGGTCTCCAAATATCTTGGTACCAATGGTTTGCTCGTAAATGTTTTCTCAAGCACTGTCATTGATACTTACGATTTAAATAATGTTCTAGGTAACTAAGCATTAATGCTTCCCACTGTTTGTGTGTCTAACTGCTTGTTTTAAGCCATTTTATAACATTAATTTTGGAGAAACGTGAAATTACGGCTCACCCGTATCGCTTATCGATTGTATTTGTGTAGCATCCGTAATAGAAGCATGTAATTATGAAAAATAGTAACATTTAAGGTTTTATATATATATATGGTGAATCGTTAATGGAGGAGTAATGTTGTCTTTAAAATGTGCATTCTATTCTTTTATTTGTTTCTATTATAATATCTTTCTTTGAACTTAGTACCAAAATAAAAAAACAACAAAAAAAAAAAAACAACAAAAAAAAAACAAAAACAAAAAACAAAAACCAACAACACAAAATGCGTACAAATAAAATTTACAATATAAGAAAGTCCCTATTAAATTCTAGGTACCTTTGTGACACTGACGAATAAAATAATATTTAAGTTTTAAAACAGTCTGGGTACTTACCAGTGCATGTGTTTTCATCGTATCTTATGTCACAATTTATGTGTATAGTATCTCTTTGTAGTACTGGTGAAACAAAGTGTGCTACATGAATATTTTAAAATTATACTTCGCCGAAAATCTATAATTTAATAGTAATTATGATTCTAAAAAAATATAAATCTATATAAATTTGATACAAATAACGGAATAAACTATTTAAAAATAACTAGTATATATTTGGTGCATATGTTGTTATCGGCTACGATGAAAAAGGAAACTGTAAAATATTTATTTTTCTAATATTTTCTTTACTAAAAAGGCAATTGTTTACAACTATTAAGCTGATAAAAATTATAAATTACGTAAATTTGTTGAGATCTATGTTTTAGATAAGTATTTTTTTTACACAGGAGTTTAAACTAAGGATTTCAAACAACATACCCAAAATCTGTATCATAGTAAAAACGTCCGAGGATACAGTATATGACATTTGTTTGGCGTTTACACAGCTGAAAATAGTAATAATAAATGTTCACATTTATTGAAAATTAAAAAGTACTGTAATTTCACATTTTTTGGTGTATAGATATTATTTGACTAGATAAATGGCCCGTTGAGGGAAAAATACATCGGGCGCTAGATTGATAGTGTTGTCTTTTTATCTATACCGAAACCAAAACAAAAAAATCACCACCCCAACTTGAAATTTAACCGGAAACGATAAATGTCTCTGAAAACGGATATTTTTTCAATGATCGGCATTTTAACCGGATCCGGAAATTTAACTTGAAATAAAACATATAATTAGCCTAGCATTAATCATGATAATAACGCTTACTATACATATTACTTTTCCGATCTTTTTTTTTATTGTATATGTACTTTCACTTCTAAATTAGACAATTCAATTAGACGATTAATTGATTTAATCTCTATTACCAATGACGTTATTATTATTGTGTATCGTTTTCGCATTCGATTTTTCATTCTATTTTTAATTCAACAACCAACGCCATTTTAATTTTGTGTAGTGACGCTAAATGTAGAAATTACCACAATACTTATCTGGTAACCTTGATCTACAGGAAGTTACTGCACATATATAAACAAAATAGTCGCAGTAATACCCCTAAACCTGGCAACTAAGGTCAAACTTGACAAATGTCACATTTAGAGTTTCTTTCAGGAAGGACGGGGATAGGAAAGGGTTGTTGACCGAGCCCCCATAAGAACGTCTACCACCTCCTCGAACGAAATAGAATTTATATATGAAAATATATACTTTTACCAGTGTCCACCCCCCTTCCCGGAAAATTTAGTCTTACTTTGGTAAAAGAATATATTTTCAATATACATTGAATTTCGTTGGGGAAGGAGGGGGGGGGGGTGCGTGGCGGTCGGTAGACGTTTTTCTGCGGGGGGGGGGGGGGGGGGGAAGGGAGCATAGCCTACCAAAAGAGATGCCTGAAAGAAACTCTACATCTAGACACTTTTAAGGATGACGTCATTACTTTTGTTTCATTAAGTTTCGTTATGAAAATTTCCAATAGGTTCCATGTGACGTCACTGTCATGAGAAATTTCGTTTTTCGTTTGACAGTGAACATTTTTACAAGGAAGGGGGTTTAATTGGCTTTATGCATTTATTGATCCAAGCTCACCTTATTTTTGAAAATGTCTTAGAATCATTTAAATATTGCAGTTTTTCTTGACACCGTATCTGTAGATTAGTGTTGCTGCTGAGAACGAGGACAGAAACATTTAATGTATTTTCGGATTTCACCGTACACTGACTGGTTTGAGATGGGTCACGTGGTTGTAGAGAGAGGTAAAAAACTTCACTGGTCTGGAAAAGCTTTTTGGTTTTCCCTTCTGTCATATCAAATACTGTTCTGTTGTCTGGAACTGAAGCGAATCCAAAATATTTAAACATTCTTTATTTATCTCCATTGAAAATAAAATGAAATCGAGGTATGTTTGTCTTTTTTTTTTGGAATTTAAGTTAAATAATAAAAATAAATAAACACATCTTTACACTAAAATACGATATTAACGACAATCATAAAACATTTTAGATTCCTCAAATAACATACTTGTAGGGTAACAGGAGTATGTAACATTGAATCGTTCTGGTTTCACAGGTTGCTCATCGCAGTACGCAGTCAAAATACTTCCATTAAGCAAACATTTTCGTTGGCCATTACACGATTTTCTCACATCAACCAGAAGTTGTTTTTGATTCAAGTCAGACCAATCAATTAAATTTACTGGGATGTTACATCCTGACTTCTATTGTTTCGAAATAAATTCGATAAACATATTCAATAAACTTTATTGAAGTTTTGTTTTTATATTTTGAAATTAATAAAATTATATATTTAAATTAATAACATTATATAATAAATGCATTTCTTTTTATTTTATTCACTAGGTGAATGATGAATACAAAAAGGTGACGATTTACATTTTCTTTTTTCACCCCACTGATACAATCGATGAACATTGTAAAGAAATAATTAAAAAAAAAACACTAAAGATATACAACTGACAGCATGAATACCTCATATATAATCAATAAATCTTCAACAATCATGGCGTAGTTTTGATTCTCATGACATCCATCTTGCGTATTGCCAGCTAGAAGCACACCGGTGTTGTTAGATTTCTCTAGTTGGACGCCAACTAACGCAGCTCCAACTAAGTTACCTAAAAGAGTTTTTTGTTGTTCAAATGTTTAAAATTTTGAAATCTAAGAGTTATAGGTTTTAACTTAATGTGTTGAGTGGAATGGGATTCATTCACATGCTTTCTAGGGTTTATGTATATATATATATATATATATATATATATATATATATATATATATATATATATATATATATATATATATATATATATATATATATATATATATATATATATATATATATATATATATGTATATATATATATATATATATATATATATATATATGTATATATATATATGTATATATATATATATATATATGTATATATATATATGTATATATATATATATATATATATATATATATATATATATATATATATATATATATATATATATATATATGTATATATATATGTATATATATATATATGTATATATATATATATATATATATATATATATATATATATATATATATATATATATGTATGTATGTATGTATATATATAAACGCATAACCTAATATTATAATAAGTAGGCACAGAATAGCTGTGTTCGGTTTGTTTCGTGAACTGTTAACAACTGTAAATGAATCCAAATTTGCATTCTGCATTTTGGTAAGTCAAAAGCCTGGAAATGAAACATAAACATTTAATTCAAACATTCATTAAAAAAAATAAATGCATGAAAAACGTTTTAATAAGAAGCTTTTATATAATAATGCACTTAAAAAGGAGAAAATAAATGCTTTTCTTTAAATATATAATAATACACTACTATTTATATAACTATAAAGAAAAGCGATTGTAGCCACACAATGTATTGTATACTTTTACTAGTATTTAGGAAGAGACTCCCGCATTTCTTTCTAGTTATTTAAATATTAGTGTATTACACTATATTTATAGAAAATAATTTATTTTTTTCTCCGTTTTAGTGCATTATTACATAATAGCTTCTTATTATAACGTTTCTCGTGAATTTTTGTCAGTACTTAAATTTTTTTAATTCAATAGAGTTGCATGACTAAAAAATATTGCGCACAAAATAATCATGATAATGCGAATAATAGTACGTCACTCTACACATTTATGACAATTTTAGTTAATTAATAAAATATTAATTATTCATCCAATTAAGTATAATCTGATTATAATAAATAATTTTAAAAAAAGCAGACAAGACGTAAATCCAGCACACATGTTAAATAATTGACATATCCTGGTCAAAAGAAACAAAAATTATCCTATTCTGACTAGCTTTTATATTAATTAGGAAGTGTGTTGGAGTGTTTACAAAGCTCTACAAGTTACATCCGTTTAAATGTTTTATTCATAGGCCAACAGTATCCTTGTAAGCACTAGTATCAACTTCTTTTCTAGAAAACTCTTAAGCTGTTTCACGGGAAATATCTTCAACAGAAACTAGTTTGATATAAAACTGTTTAGATTTAGTTTGGATACCATTATTATTGTTAAATTATTAGTTTGGATGTTAGTATAAAAAATACAATGTATTAAATTGTATGGTGATTATAATTATACAATTTATTTTATTGATGGAATAATTATTAAAATATAACACAAAAAACATTAAAAATTGCTAATTATTTAAATTACTTAGTTTTTTTAAAATTGCATGGAAATCGTTTTATAAATAATAGAAACTATTCGGTTGCCAATAAAATCGTTGAAACTTTCCATATTCATTAGTCTCCGAAGAAAACGCAAAGATTGTAAAATATTCAATTTAATTATTAATTAAATAAGTCACTATAAATCAAAGTAATGATTGTCTAATAACAATAGGGAAGAAAAAAAGATTAAAAGCTAAAGCATGTTTTTTATTTTGAGCTTATCTTACGGATGTTTGGGACAGATACTTGTATTTTAGAGAACACACGCTAATGAACGGGTTTTGTACCAAATATTTTGTCGTATGTTTAGTTTTAAATTTGGAAATGATTCTTTAAACTATATGAAATAAAAACAAATATAAAGTTTCTTAAAATAAGCTTTAAAATGAACCGAAAATCAGAAAACAAAAAAACATCATTTCTTCAAATGAGAGCACAAGTTAAAAAATATTTTGCAAAATGTGACTAAAATTAATAATTATTTTATAGAATTCAAGGCATTTTTAGAAAACAAACACAGAACGAAGAAGCAGGATGTTTAATGTATATTTAGCTTCTCACTAACGCCCTTCGACCAACATGCTTGTAGATTCATAAGCTTAGTCGTGACACGGTTCATGTTCTTAATCTGATCATTGATCTTCACTTGATGAGTAATAATAATTTTTGTCACCAAGCCTTAAACTTGTATTATTACTCTAGTATAAGAGTTTTAAATTAATTGATGTTTTGTAAAACAAAAGACTCTTCCTGCAATACAAAAATATTTTTTCTGTAATATTCAGTTCAAAGTTTTTTCCCAGTTCAACTAATATTGAGATATTTTATATTTCTAACAATTGTTTAAACTAGCAACTTATTATCTCTATTTTTACATAGTGTAAGTAATTCAAATTGTATGTATTTCATTAGAAAAGTTCCATACATTTCGTAGTAAAAATAAAATTATAAACAAACTGAATAATAACTCATTTTTTCTTGCCTATGTTAAACTTTAAAACACGATTTTGTATCCAAGCTTTATTTAATAATATTGACAGTTAAGAAGTTATTTATATCAATAGTACAGTCAATATGCACGGTTTATCTTGCATTTCAGTTTAGTAAATAACTTTATTGTTGATTTAGTTAAAAGTATTTTGACATTGTTCATGTATATATTTTTCATAAAATTTGCAACGTTAAAGATAATAATAAACTTAAATATACATTTAATTATTGACATAGCACCTTTATCAGAGTTTTCTGCCTTTTCAAGGAACACATTTTTACTTTTTCGTATACGAAGTATAATTGTAATCGTGCAAAAAAAAAATCGAGATTTTTACAAATCATGACGTTTTACACCTCCCTGAGCCGGAAAAACATTGTTTTGCAATATTGTCCGTATGTCTGTGTGTGCAGTGTGTGTGTGTGTGCGTGTTTCTTTGAACAAGATAACAGAATACCTTTACAGCTAGGTTGACGAAATTTCATATATAAGTATTATATCAAATTTGTAGATCGGTATCTACTTTTCAGCGATTTCCAATAACCGGAAGTGGAGGTTTTTCTACTTTCATTTTTTTTTAAAAGCCTGGAACTTGAGTACTGTGTCAGATAGATAAATGAAATTTCACATATAAGTAAAAGATCTAATTCTCTGCCATCTATTAAATTTTGAGTAATTTTCTTTGACAAGAAGTAGTAATTTACGCTATTTCCGATTTCTCAAAAAGCGCATGTGAATTTATAAAGTACTAATAATATTCCGCACTATTATACACATTTTGTTTGTCAGTTGTTTGATTGCTGTGCGTCTCCAATTCTTCCTTTGTCCTTCCGTGTTTTTTTTCCTTTGAGGTGTCTACCCAAGCGCCATTCCTGTGATGTCGCCTGTAAGCGTTCTTATAATTACTCACGCCCAGAGTGATTTTAACTGTAAACTGGAGCTGGGCCTTTAGCTGGGCCTGGAGCTGGGCCTGGAGCTGGGCCTAGAGCTGGGCACATAGTTTGGTCAATAGCTGTAACTGCGTGTGAAAACTAGACTTCACCTTTCCTTGATTATTCCAAAATACAACTAAAACAAGCTAAAAACAACATTAAGTAACAAAAACATTGGGCGTCATAAATGGATGCTCCTAAGAGTGTGGCCCGTCATCTAGTGCTATCTGTTGCTTGCTGTGCTTAGTCCAGTTCCTGTATGTTATTGACGATTTTCTACCTCGTGTGGCTGGACATTCTCTGTGTTTTCTTTTTACATCTCAACATTAAACAATGCCACAAAAGTCTTTTCTCATTTGCTCTAAAACATTGTCTGTAGATTTACATTTTCGTGCTGCCGATGGATTAACTCATTTTTAGTGCTTAAATATCTTGTCTTCGGATTAAACAAACACAATCTACCTTTTTTTAAAAATTAACCGACGAAATTAAAAAGTAATATCGACATAAATTGTTATTTATTACAAAGCCAAATGTAGACACATGTATATAAAATAGTCCTTGAAAAAACAGAGTCGTTTTTGTCAGAGAGAATCCGAACCCACTACTCCACACAGGTAAAGAATTTAAAAATAGGCACTATGTTTTTTAATAGTAATTTTGATAACTATTTTACTTTGGATAAAAGTAACTATATTAAATAAACCGGGAGTGATCTCTGTAATGGATTGACGATAGAAGCATGTGGTTGTATATAAAACGTTTATTGGCCTTCAACTACATGATGATAAGGAGAGAGAGCGGAAGTGACGAGAGACAAAGATATATATACATGTAAGGGACATCACTCAAGATAACAGTATACATATAATACTAATACAAGAAGAGTGAGTTCCCTTGACTTCACAAGTCTCACTATATTACATCCCTTTACCCTTAGTAAACACAACACATCTCTCAATAGAACAATTTGCAGTATCCTAAAATCACCAATTATATTGTAACATGAACACTATGGTAGATTACATCCTTACAAACAATGCACAATATGTTACAACATAATTAAAATACAAAACAATGATGTCAAAGTCCTTTTGACCTTTAAAATCATAGGTCTAACTTATTTGGGACTTTGATTGTCCTACTTGACCTTCTCAGTGGCTTTTGATTTGGTGACTCAAGATTCTGACCATATGGCTTCTCTATCTCAGGAGGTCTAGGATCAAAATCATTAATTCCAGAATTTACATTTTCTGACTCCAGACTACTTGGTTCACTCATATCAACAGAACTTGGTTTTGGAACAAACTGAGTTGGTGTGAACTGTTCAATTTTGGTGGGATTGACAGATTCACACTTATTATCTGCACAAGTTATTTTTAACTGGTCTGCATGTCTACGGACAATAAGTCCATCATTTGTTTTTACTTTATAAGACACAGGTCCTGTACATTGAACAATTTGACCTGGTATCCATTTTTCCTTTCTCCCATAATTTCTTAGATACACATTATCATTAACACCAAATTCTCTTTCAATGAATGTTTTGTCATGATTTAATGGAACTATTTTTGAATTGGCATCTGAAAGTATTATGCTGTTATTCAGATCCTTAACTGACATAGATTTCTTTGATTGATCACTTTTCTCAGGTAATCTGATAGTGCTTTTTAGTAACCAAAAATACTGTTTAAAAGTAATATCCTGGACCATATCACTTTGCAACTGTGATCCAGTATTTGAAGTGGGTGTATTAAATGGCAAAAATCTTTTTTCTTTTGATGTTAACCTTTTAGTTTCTGTAAGTGCTAATGATGTTAGCAAAGTTGTTTGATGATCACATTCCTTCTTACTAATGTATTCTCTTTAAAAGCATTTGAAATTGTCATATCACCATAATCATTTATTAAGTTACAAATACTTTGTTTAGGTAACTCTGACTGATAATGGACTGCATCTTCTCCATCTTTTAGACTTAATTCCATTTTTCTTATTTTACATGGCCTTAAGTCATCATTCACAGACTCTTCAGGCCAACCATTCTTACAGTACTCATATACTTTTATTAAGCACTCATCTTTTTGTGTTTCTCTTTTCATATCATTCACATTTATATTGGAGTTATCCATGATAGTGAAGAGAACAAATACATCTTCTGGTACATAGCTAAGGCTTTGGTTTTTTTAAAGGTAATTTACTAAGACTATCTGCACTATTCTCAGATCCAGGTTTGTATTTCAATTCATAATTTTATGCAGTTAGTGTGATAGCCCATCTTTGAATTCTTGGTGAGGCATGCTCAGGTAGGGTTTTGTTTTCTCCAAATAAACCTAGCAATGGTTTATGATCTGTAAAGATGGTGAACTTCCTACCAAACAGAAACTTATGAAATTTCTTAACACCAAAAATGATGCCTAAGCCTTCCCTATCTAACTGAGAATAATTTTTCTCAGCCTGGTTCAAAGATCTACTGGCAAAAGCAATGGGTCTGTCACCCTTTTCATCTATTTGGGATAAGACTGCTCCTACACCATCAGGTGAAGCATCACATGTTAATATAAGTCTTTTCCCTGGGTCATAGTGAGTTAGTAAGGTGTCAGAAGACAAAGCCTCTTTTGCTGTATTAAAAGCAGTATCTTGTTGTTTACCCCAGTGCCAAGTTGCATTTTTCTGTAGCAGCTTGTACAGTGGTGATAGTTTACCAGACAGATTCCCTATGAACTTTGCATAGTAATTTATTAAGC